GTCATGAATTTTTACAATCACCTTATTATATACGTATTTATCTTTGATTTCACTAATGATAATAATCTCTTAGTTTTAAGCAACTATCTGAAACTAAATTTGATAAGGCCTACAGACTATTTTCATTTTTTCGTTTCTTGGCATAACTACTGACTTTTTTTATACACAGCACTATCTATTTTTGTCGGTCTCCCTTCTTTTTGTTTAATCTCTGGCATATGTGCTAACCGCACGTGTGTACATATTCGTAGTATATACTACGAATAATTTGTTGGCCAATGCAAATTCGAATCTCATTAAATTGTATGCTTATATCTCGATGCGACAAAAAATACGTTTATTCTTACATTAAAAATGTTAAACGATCAAATAGAAGACGAGTCCGATTAATTTCTATTCTTTTCAAAAAATCTTGTACTTTTTTCTTTTTTTTTTAATTGTGCATGTAAAGCGAAACACCATTAATAATCCAAATAATAATAATATAATAATCGCAATAATACAATAGTAACAATAATCCAAAAATGTGCAAATTGTAAAGAACAATACAATAATCGTTATAGCGGTAAGCTCGTAATATAGACCAGGAAATAGCAATCTTCCATGTGCCGGATCAGGTTTGAGAACACGCAAGTTCGTAATAATTTAATGGAGACAGAAAATAACATAATACCACGTACATAGAATGTACTATACATACTACCTCTGGCTTAAATACATATGCCACGCATCTGCATCATATACAGGGTACGCTATCATTGAGTTAACTCGGAAGGTACAATGCACAGATGAGGATGTTAGTCGTTAAGTACAAGCGAATCGTACCCTGCTAACCCAGTAACCGTATCGAGTTATTCTTTTCGATCTTAATATCTTGAAAGATGAATAAATACAGTCATTTCTCAATAGTGCCGGGAAATTTAAAAGCGAAACATTTATAATATTTGTAATTATATCTATATATTCTATATTACAGATGCAATCAATCCTTTATCATAATAGCAGTGGAGATCAGGCGTTTACGGGTAATCTCAAGAGAAAGGAAGTACATCGTGCCATTACTTTACATCCTATAAAAACTTCTCCATACATGTACAGACTTCATAATTATATGAGGGTTTGCATTTAATTATAACAATGAATTTTAACTCTGAGACAGAAAGTATGTATTTATTAAAAAATGTATGATTATCTTTTTTTAGGGATTAAAAGTACAAGACTTGCAACAAGAAAAAATTAAATTGCAAAGAGATATCTATACGATGACAAAAGAATTGAGTATTAATCTCGATCACTTGAGAAATTACCAATTGGCTGATGCTGTATCGCTCTTCCCTGTCAACCCTTATTCCGAAAATTATCCTGGCGACACGGAAATTTTAGGTAAATTTGTATTCTCTTTCATATTTGAAAGAAAACAGAAAAAAGAAGAAAATATTCGGAATAAATCAAAAAGTACATTTAATATTCGTCATGCATATTAAATCTTCAGTAAAGTCATTACTTTAAAACAGCCTTGAAAGCGTTCTTTAACCAGGCAGATATCTGTAATTCAATTAAGACAATCATTTCAAGAACGATTGTATTTCATCACGCACACGTACGCATTATTAATAGATCCACTTTGCATGATTACTCTATGCAAACTGATTGTTAGTCTGACGCGACTAGAAAGAAAAGAAATGCGATATGGTCTGTCGCAACTTATCGAGTGAAATGATCTTCGATTATTGCTTTCATCGAATCTGCTTTTATTGGCTACAATTTCTGTAGATTACTTATGATTTATTTTTCTTATGAATTACTTATTTATTTTTTACATGTATAAAAATATATAATATAATTTATTTATATTGCATATTTTAATAATATTTTAGAAAGTATACTAAATATGACATTTCATTTTTTAAAAACTGATTTTATATGTTAGGTGTTCCCCTTGGAATTCGTACCTTTAAACCAACTATAAGCGACGAAGTCATCCCTTGGGATTTCATTTCAAAGTCAGAATATAGCTTGAGCGATTTTAATCCTAGAAGACGAATTCACAGTGACATTAAAGAGGGTTTGGAGGATATTACTAGGGAAGTAATGGCTTCTATAAATGCCTGTTCGAGACAACGTGGTCGGGTAGTCGACGAACGATCTGCTCTTTATGGTTACAGAAGAGTGAACTCCTATGGCGCTGACACAATTTTAGATCTACTTTTGGTCTATCGTAAATATAGAGGCAAAAAAGTTACTTTGCCAGTTAGAAGACATATTTATCTTCATCAACATTTTACCGGTACGAAATATTCATTAAATAGTTAATTTATTAATTTAATATCTACAATTATAATTGATAATTATTAAAAAATTTTCTTTATAGGAATAGAAATACGAGAAGTGATAAATGATAAAGGATTTAAGAAAGATGATCAAGAAAACGAAGGAAGATCTGTACAAAATGTTTTACATGGGAAATTCCTGGATTTAAATTTCAAATCTCGTAAAAATGTGAATACTATACAAGAAAAAATCATACATTTCATATTACCTTTGTCCGGACGATACGAAGTATTTCAAAGATTTTTACAAAATTACGAAGAAGTGTGCTTAACGACTGGTGAAAAAACAGAATTATTGATAGTATTATATCAACATAAAATAGAGGACTCTTTGAATAAAACGATAGATTTAATTGAACAATTGAAGTACAAATATCGCAGTGCTAGTATTGACGTAATTTTAGGTTCTGGAGAATTTGCAAGGGCTAATGCTCTTCACGAAGGAGTTACTAAAATGAAAGACGAAGATTTATTATTCTTCATTGACGTAGATATCGTTTTTACAAGTTCTGCTCTATATCGTATACGATTAAATACATTAATGAATAGACAAATTTATTTTCCTATAGTTTTTAGTGAATACGATCCAAAGATCGTTTATGAAAGTTCAAAGAAACATGACAAATATGTTATTACGGAAATTGCTGGTTATTGGAGGCAATTTGGTTTTGGTATTGTATCATTATATAAAAAAGACTATGATGATGTTGGTGGGTTCGATTTATCCATTCGAGGTTGGGGTAAAGAAGATGTAGTATTTTTTGAGAAGGTCGTTAAGTCAAAGATAGAAGTTTTTAGAGCAGCTGATAGAAATTTGATTCATGTGTTCCATGATGTTGAGTGTGGCAAAGAACTCTCTGATACGCAATTATTAATGTGTATGGGTACTAAGGCTGACACTTATGCAGGACTTGAAACACTCGCTAAAATTATTTATGAAAATCCTGAATACTTAAAATTTGCCAAGGAAAGACGATTAAAATTAACGAAGGCTAGATCTTGATACTAATAAGCCAAAAATTACAAAAACGAATAATATATATAAAAATAATTTATATATATATATTATTTCAAGATAATGTGTTCTATTCACTGTTTTAAGTGTACATACACATTAATTTAGTTTTTTCTTTTTTTTTTTAATTTATTATTTACGCCAAATATTTTACATTTTATAATACATTTACATGTAAATGCCATTATTATGCGTAATATTATAATTTTCAAAGTTATTTTTATACGTATATGTAAAAAAAAACAGTAAAATTTTACCGTACCATTAGATCATAATGTTTGTTACAAACATAAGTTAATACAAGTATCATCAAAGAACGGAACTATAAAATAATCATAATTTGACAATAAATAAATAGTGATGTTCCATCCATAGAACTCTTATAGAAATCTTACATTTATAGATGTACATGAACTATGAAGAAATACAAAATTACAAAGACAATATGTATGATGATAATACTCATAACTAATAATAAGTGCACCTGAATGTGCGATCGCTTTACAAATGCATTCATTATCTCAACAAATAATTGTGATATTATTGTGCTTTTATTTAATTATAGTGTCGCAAGTTATTATTATCATATAAGTAGTATATACTACATAATATTATTATGATACTATATAATAATATATTTTCTATGTTAATATACATTATGTTATCAAATCGCTATACTGAAAAATAAATACATAAATATTTTAAGTAAATCTACGTTAAATAGATTTATACAAATGAAAATGTATTTTTTATACGATATAGGATTGTCTCTCCGCTCTTATGTTTCATATTTTCCATAATTTATTTTAAAAACTTGACAGCAAAAGCACATGAGTTGCTTTATATGCTGTTATTAAATGTCATACTTTAACACAATTTATAATTCATAATGTTTTTTCGCACTCAGTACTTTCACAAACTATCTTTAAAATCTCGCAATCGTTGACAACTGTCATAATACGATCGTTAAAAAGTATGATCGGCCTCATTCATAAGTATCGTGAAAGTCACCTTACGGATAAATAACCTCAGAAATAAACATATAATGAAGCTTATCAAAAAGCAAACAAGCGGACAAATATATAGAAGTTGTAAATAAAAAACGTAATATAGTATTTTATCTGTTTCTTCGTATGAACGGCATAAACATTTGTATAAATTATGCAATTGTAAAAGTATTATGCTGTATTAAGACCATGTTAAAAGAGACCATAATAACAATAATGCCTCATTTGAAATGTAAAATTATTTCATAAACCATTAGTCCAATTTGATCGTTGTGTATTTTTGATCGGAAACTTTGATGTATGTATATGTATATGTATATATATATATATATATATATATATATATATATATATGTGTGTGTGTGTGTGTGTGTGTATTTATTTATTTATTTATTCATAGATTATATTTGTTTATATTTCTATTCCAAAATTTTCCTCATTGAGCATCGAATATTTCAAAAGAAATAAAAATATTGAAAGAGTAAAATATAGAGATGACCGTCGTCATTCGCAATAATTACATTAAAAAGCTTATCGCTCAAGCTCGAGGTCAGTGCCTATCGTTGTCGGTGGATCGTCGGACTGACATTCAAACCAGGAACATTTACGTCTGAATACCCGTCAGTGTGCGTTGTCTCTCCAGGCAAATTAAAAAACTGGTTTTGTCATCGAAGACAAAAAGAACAAAATGGAATACGGATCACAAACAAAGATTTCGATGAGGTTGATCATTTTACTATTATCTTTTGGTATTTTAACGAAGGCTAAAATTCTAAACGAATGTGAAGCCATGCGTGAACTTCAACGTGGTGGCATCTCAAGAACATTCATGAGTAATTGGATTTGCCTAATGAAGAACGAAAGTGGTATGAATACTCAGCTCATCACTGGTCCAAAAGGTGCATCCAACTATTACTACGGTATATTTCAAATCAGCAGTAGCAAATGGTGTACACGTGGTCGTATCGGTGGTATTTGTAATAAACGTTGTGAAGATTTTGCCAACGACGACATACAAGATGACATAGTTTGCGCTAAAAAAATTTCTAACATGGATGGATTCAAAGCTTGGAATGAATGGACCAAGAAATGTAAAAACAAACCGTTACCGAATATAAGAAACTGTCAAAGGCGACGATGAATGTCATAGAAGGAAATAATCGTTGATTATTTTAATGATCTATAGAAGGAAAAATACAAAATATCAACGATTTATGACTTAGATAAGTAAACAAAACAAATATTAATCGATCACTTGTAAATTACATATATATATATATATATATATATATATATATATATATATATATATTAATTAGTTATATATATATATACATATATATATAACTAATTAAGATTTAGAATAAGATTATTCTCTCTATCGATGATCGTATGTACAGTTATATCGTTATATAAAATTCTTTTCCGTTGAATTTTTAAGTTTAGCTTACAATCTTATCTCTTTGAAATGTAGATAGCGATCTACATTCCAATTCCTCAAATGGAAAATCTTGGAAGATTTTTATATATTTTGGGATGTAAGATTTTGGTTTCATTGCATTTATTGCATAAGAATATATCATGGTTAACTAATTGTAAGATAATATTTAAACATTATTTCGGAAAGTTTGTAATTAAGTTAGCATTTGTTTAGGTTCTATTTATATATTATTCTTATGTAAATAATGTAATAATCAAAAGACATTTTCTTAATACGTAATATAATGTTTCAATGGTATTTTTACTATTTTCCTGTTTCCACTTAATCAGAGATAACAAAAAACAACGTAATTATAGATAAGCTGTGATTGATTCCGTTGAAATTATCGGAGTAAAAATAAATTTCATATTATATATCTTACAAAGTTACAGATAAAACTTGTTTATATGGTATAAAAAATTAATCAAAATCATTTAAGATAAAATTTTAAGAAAAAACTCTATTATGCTTTGAAAAGAAGAAAACTGAAGAAAATTTTAAGAAATACTTTTTTCTTTTTTAACATGATACAAATAAAGTCTTGAAAGCGATCTATTTAAATTTAAGTTCTGGCGTATTCGCTTTTGCGTCGTCATTTAACAAAATTTACATATCGCTTATAAACATGTTATGCAACGATCGCAATACGTATTACTATCGTTCATCGTTCTATGTACATCTTTTAAATAATATGTAAATCTATTGAATTTGTGGGACAAAAATTGCGCAAGCTTGCGTTGTGGCAACGTTTAAAAAGACGTGTGAGTTGGCAAGAACTTAAGATGGTTTAGAAATTTCTACTATTAGAATTACAAAGTCGACCGTGACGCGAATATAATCGTTTCTTCCCGATTTCATTTTTTTCCTTTTTCGGATATACTCGAAAAGATATCATATTCTCTTCTTCCAAAATTATAGAAATAAATAAAAAATAATAATAATGTTCAATCCATATAACGTAAATAGACGATCCAGTGCTTTCCTCGTATGAAAAACAATACAACGGAAAAATCGATTGTTCCTAAAAAAGGATTTTCACTAAAATCTTAAATTAGGTAAAAAAATAAGATTAGAAAACAAATATTTTTGAAACATTTTTGAAACAAACATTCTCTGTTAGTTGTCTGAGCAGATGTATGTCCCATACAGTCGAGGACTACCGTAAGTATAATATATACAGCAATCGCAAACGCAGACGCCTTTCACTACCGGAAGTGAACAGTTGAGAGACAAACGCGTGAGAGCGACCCAGGTCATCACCTTTCTAGAAACATTAAATAAAGCCGAAGCTTCTTATTCACTAACGTGGAAATGCCATATGAGCTAGTATATATTCATATTGATTAATTACTTACATAAAATAAAGAATATCACGCAAGTATAATTATCAACATCATGTATTTTTACGATAAATATTTATTTTAAAGATAAAGAGCTTAATGTCATTATAAATTAACGATGTATCATTTTTTCAAAGTTGATATAAATTTATGTAATAGAGTTTTCATTTTTCATTAACATAATAACTAACTATGATAATCAATATTCTAATCGTTCTCTTCTTATTTCTAATTTGTTAATATTATATTGTACATTCACACGTTATAAATATCTAAACTGTTATATTCTGATTAGCCTAATTTACAGATAGTACATCAGTATGCGTGCCTTTACTGTATCAAAGGAAGGAAGTAACGGAGAACAGAACGGTCTTGAAACAACGAACGTGTGGCTGAAATTCTGGAAAGATGATCGTGGCGATGAAATTCGAATGTAGTATCAGTGACCTCTGCAAAGGTCGTTTCTCCGCATCGTCTTGAAGAAAGTGAATCAATGAGAAACGAAGGTAACAGGTAAATCTCGGTCACTGTTGCTCTTGAGGTGATCAAAGCTTGCTCATCGTAACGGAAAGTACCTTCTATTGGCAAAATCTTACGAAAATTTTTTGCCAAACTACGAACGAATAACTAAAAATACTAGCAACAAACAAGGAAATAAGAAAAATGCTTATTTCTCATCGATTAAAAGAAAGTAACTTTGTTGTAGTTATTTAATCGGAGAATTTCGACTTTACAGATTTCATTTAACCGAAGAGAAAATCTTGTTAAACCGATAAATCTAACATCGATTTATACAAAGCAATGTTATAAATATAGAAACTACGAATCTTTGTAAATCCTAATCCTCTATAGCTTTGGCATTACGCGGATCGTTAAGATTGTGTAATTTCCGTAACGTCGTAAGCCACTCTTCTCTACACTACTGATCCCTATACAGAGATATATGAAATATCGTTCACACGAAGGAAGTACGAGGCATCGCATCGATACGATGGCAGCAAGCGCGCACCAAATGAGTTTTGAAACGGAAAAGAAAGTGCTGAGATTTGAAACGGTGCTAAGATGATTAGGAGGGGAATGGAATGGAATAACGTTCACTACACGAGTTAATATTGTAACGTTACCATTTCCACTTTTGATTACGTTAACGTAACGTTGATTGTTCTTTTGAATTTTGGCGTTTCGAAGTTAATTATAATCGATCGTAAAAGTCACGATATCACATTCGCATATATATATATATATATATATATGTACGTACATATTTATATACTTGACGTTTCATTCGTATAATTCTATCTCTCGGCTAAGACTCTTAGAGAAACTACTATATGCGATCTTCTGCCTAGTAGCCGGTTTCTAATGCGGGCGGCTACGACATGCAGAGGTTGTTAAACGATTGCCTAATCAAAAGAGAAGAATGTCTTTAACAATCCAATCTTTCTCATATACTGCTCTTCGAACTTTATTATTTAAAAAATATATCGATAAATATAAAAAACAAAGAATTTGAAGAAACAAAAAAAAACATTGCTCTTAAAATATTGAAAAACTACATGAATTTAATTAATTACCTAGTAATTGTAATTTGTAGATATATCTGTCAAAGAGGGATAAAATCTAAGATCTGTCGCAAATATTTATCTTCATCGAGCAGATTCGCATTAGCATACTAATACGAGAGGAGATACTCCACTACTAATAACACACTGTAGTTTTATAAGTTCAGTGGCAGTCGTGCCAACGTGGAGGTCTTTATTAAAAATCGCAAATACGAATCAATGAGAATACTATAAAAGTTTTCGTCAAACATTAACTTATGATATAAATGGATTTATACAAAATACTTTTTTTATTAATTTTTAATCTACAATCATATATCGTATGGTAGAAAATCGATAAATTTATATTATTTCAACGTGAATCTTCGATTACGCATCATCTTGTGTCTTCCCTTTCACCTTTCACTTTTGGCCTTAACGTATTAGATCTTTCTCTTCACTCTTGTTTTCTCGAAACGATATCTCAGCACAACCATGGACAACGTACACAAATCTAATTCAATCAGTATTATGTAAACATCCTTGCATCCTATGAAAAATAATTTATAAAAGAATTTTATTTGTCAAATTAGCTCTTCAGTAATAAATTCCTAAACAATTTTGTAGAAATATTTTTATATTACTTTTAATCACAAAGGTATTTTAAATATTATAAATTTTCAACAATGTAATGAGCTACTTTTATCAAGGCTGGAAATTACTCAAGGTAATTAGGATCGCACTAAAAGAAAGTAACGTTCACGTCCAGGATGAAAATATTCAGAGCTAACGCAAAACACGTATATATTTATCTATATATATGTATCTTTGAATTAAGGGAGAAGATTCATACGAGACACTTTTCACACGTTATTATATCCTACATCCGGCAGGAAAGATTTCACAGGATCAAAGAAAAACTTACACGCAAAAGAAAAGAGAAAAATATAGAGAGAGAGGGAAAAAATAAGGAGAAAGAGGGAGAGAGAGAAAGAAAGAGGGGGGAGGGATAGAGGGAGAGAGGGGAAGAGAGAGACAAAGAGAGAGAGAGGGAGAGAGAAGGAGAGAGAGAGAGAAAGAGAGAGAGAGAGAGAGAGAAAGAGAGAGTGAGGAGGAAGATGATACGAGCAAGAAGCTTATGGCCGAGCGAAAGTGAAGCCTCGAGCACACGGATCCCCTTCCTTCCCCCGACCTTCTTTCCGCAACCCCGTAACGTCAGTATTCGAGAAACTCAGATACAGCACATGGCACCTTCTCGTGGCTAGGAGGCAGCTCAGAGTTTCCTGAGGCATTTGCTAAGTAAAGTGCTTGTCACTGGAAGAAATCGAAATTTCCTGGCGCCGAGAATCGAACGTAAAAAGAAAAAAAAAAAAGAAAAAAGAAAAGAAAACGATATATCTAAAAATCTACAAAGAATGAGAAGAAGCAAAAAAAATGAAAACTGTTGAGCGTCCTTGTTCGCTTGCTTTTCTTTTTATTTATTTTTTCTTTATTTTTTTATCTTATACGACGTCGACACGTGAAAGCGATCGTACAAAATTTCATGAGTCTTTTCGAGGTCACACATATGTAAGCACGGACATACATACATATGAGGTCGAGATAAACATTTACGATTTGAGTATAAAATTGGGCTACACTGGATTATGAGGAATAAAAAAAGGTTGATAAAAAAAATGAGGGAAAGAATATAGAATGTGAAAGATCAGAAGGAAAGAACAAAAAAAAAAAGAAAATACGAGGTCGATGTATATCAAGAAGTGGGTCAAAGGGTCACAACTCAGATAATTAATTTCTCATGGAAGAAAGCGATTTCCCTCTCGTTTAGTTGTACCATCACCGATCGGATCACAACTGGACGTTGTGATTCGAAATGAAAACGTCTTTTCCTATAAAAATGTGTACAAGAAAGAGAAAAAGAATGTGCAGGATGAGAAACTGGGGAAATAGAAAGATGAACGACCGATAGAAATTCATACGAATTCTTCAAATTGCAAATTATGATTACGTCATAGATATATAAAATAATTCCGTTTTAGAAATGATACAACTGCTGTACAGTGACCATTCGAAATTGCAGATTCAAAGAATCTGATGTAAAACCGTTGAATGTATCGGAATTTTCAACTACATTGTTTGCATTTTGCCCAATATCTTAGTAATCATATTCGAATTTTAGATGGGTCATACGTATATCGTATGCGAGACGAAACCAAAAGAACGGGTCCACTTGTCCATTTACCATGTTCACTTGTCCACTTGTAATAGGTATTCATAAAACGTTTTTACATAAGGCATTGCGGTATTAAATTCTTTCGAAATCATTGAAGACCCTGAGCAAATAACGAGAGATTCGTTATGTAAACTGTCTATGAATGCTTCGCCGAAAAAGAAATTTTTTTAATTATTGTACGTCGAAATCCTCTAAGTAATTACATTAATTATTGCAAAAAGAAATATTTTCTATAATATATCGATACAATTGAAAATCGTTTGTCTGTTAAGATCAATCACGATTTTGCATAGACTACAAAAGTGATCACAATGATCGATATACCAAGTTTCATAAATATTGTAATGGAATATTGGGTATACGGAGTCTAGGTCTAGGACGTAACTTATAACTAGTATTTCACTATAGTCGACGAAGCAGACTAAATTTCACAATTCCTATATTCACCAAATCTCGCATAGGTATATCTCTTAATAGAGATTCGAGGGCCAATCTTTTACACGTAGACCACTGCAATAACGGTCGAACAAAGTGAGAAAGAGAGAGAGAGAGAGAGAGAGAGAGAGAGAAAGAGAAAGAGAGAGAGAGAGAGAGAGAGAGAGAGAAGTATCGAGGAGGAGAGAAAGAGAAAGAGAGAGAGAGAGAAGTATCGAGGAGAAGAAGAGAAAGAAGATGACTAGAGAATCGTCTCACCGTTGAATTACTCTCACCCGAGAGGCCCCATCGCTTCTTCGTGGGGGCCCCACATATCCCCCTGCTTCTCCTGGGAGTATAAAGGACCCTGTTCTACCATCCACGAAGTCACAGAACCGAGCGGCATCGTAGAAGCCGGCATGAATCCCTTGATCGCGGTAAGCACACTAATTTTTGACATAGAGAGTAAAAGTTAAGGGGTAAGACTAAGATAAGGAGTGTGCGAACAAAAAAGAAAAAAAAGAAATGAGCAGAAGATATTCGTGATTCGGTGTACTATTCTAAAAGTTATTTATTAAAAGAGAAAAAGAGTAGCGATTTAAATACCTACTTAATTCTGTCAATCGAATTTCCATCAAAGTCAAAATGCTTGTACTGTACCTATCTCTAATAAAATTGATTTCACCGTTGAAGAAACGAAAACATTCAGCGACGATTATTTTATCGGGAATTGCATCGGGATTCCAAAGCATCTTGAAAGTCGTTTCAACATGAATTACAAGATAGCCATTCCATCGACGATCGATCTCTTCGATGCAATCGCTTGCAACATTACGTGACTTCGAAAACAAGTTAGCCAGAGTTGGATTTTCTCTTCGATCATGATAGCGTAAATTAGTATAGAAATTCTATAGAAATCTGACAACTTGGAATTTAATCTAATCTAAAAATATTTGTTTGTTTTCTTTTACAGTGTATAGTTATCGGTTTGGCAGGGTTCGCCCTGGCCGAACCACCGATCTCTTCCGGCTATAGTTACAGTAGACCAAGTGGAAGTGGTGGTGGCGGCGGCTACTCTCTAGGTGGAGGAGGCGGTTATTCGAGTGGTGGAGGTGGTGGATACACTCAGGTATCCACTGGCTACCAAACGAACGAAGGTGCTTCTGTTGACGGAGCCCTTCTCGAACAAATCCGTCAGATCCTTCTCAAGGAAGAACTCCAAGCCCAACAGACTGGTGGATTCGGTGGTGGAGGATATGCACCCAGTTCGAGTTACGGTGCTCCATCATCACAATATGGAGTACCAAGTTCTAGCTACGGTGTACCCAGTTACCAAACTCGCGTCGTAGGCATTGATCTCGAAGGTATTAGGCAAGCCATTCAGGTAGCTCAATTTAATCAAGTTACCCATGGCGGTGGATATCCAAGTGGTCCTAGTGGAACTTATGGAGTACCTAGCAGGCCAAGCGGCAGCTACGGTGCACCTTTCTAAAGCGGTCGTCGCCAATAAAAAAGGAAGAGAGAGAGGTGAAATATAAAGCAGGTGAAACAAAAGCGACTATCTTTCGAGTTAATAATTTAAGAATGAAAATAACAACGTCTATCAACATCTTGAAGATACATCATTCAAAGATAATGATATTCAAAAGACTAAAAAAAATTTGAAGAAGAAAGGAAAAAGAAAAGATCTCGCAAAATCGTTGACTAACGAAGATTTCCAGGGGAATCCTTCAATCTAGAACGCTCGAAAGATCGTCGTGCGAAAGAAAGCTCGGTCGTCATTAATATATAGAAGAAATAATCGTCTTAGGAAGATCAAGGATCTTATCGTTATCATCATCGAACAACTATCCGCGAGGATTACGTTATACCGCGCATGCAACATTTTTGACTTAGGTAAAAATGAAATAGAGATCGTATGTATATATATATGTCGTCAATACAAAATAGAATTTCAAAAATACGATATATAGTAGTAGTTAGTAGAGTATATAGAAGCAAATTGACATAATCAAAAGATCTCTACGATCTTGCCTCGTTGAAGATCATAGAAATCGCAGCTTTAATACGTCAGAATATTCGAAAAAGAATTTTCTCGAAAGAAGATTAGAACAATTTAGATCTCAAACGAACAAGGCACAACATCAGATGAGATGTTACAATTCACATAAAAATTCACTTTTTTGTCCTCTTACACGACAATCAGAATAAAAAAAAAGAAACTAAGATGAGGATAGGAATAACAAAATAAAAACGAAAACGGAGTAAATGCACATCGTCATGTGCCAAGATATAAGGACAAGAGTTCTTACTCAATCATAAGTGAACGGGAGAAGCAAGAGAAAAGGGCCAGAAATAGCCGAAACCGAAGACGTGATTGGTGCATATATTGCGCCCTGTAAATACAATTTTATATTACTCTTTTAAAATCGAAGTATCCGTGACGCAACTCAATGACCTCTTTCGAATATTTCGTTGGGAATAATAAGAGAAAAACGGAATAGGGGTCGAGGTTATGAGATCTCGAAGAGATCCCCTAACGAAACATTATCTTAAAAAAAATATTGGAAAAATCACGGGCCAAATAGCAAAAAAATGAAAAAAAGAAAAAATAATAATAACGACGAAATATCAATAAAGAAAAATTTGACGTGCGACATGGTCCTTCTCGAGCAACACGTATCACACGAAGCCACGAATACACACTATTTTTCTACGTTTTTAAATGCTATTCTTTAACCACGCATTTTTGTACTTGTATAAAGGCTTTTTTATAGAAAAAAATAAAAAAACGTCGCCACCGTTAAAAAAGAATTCTCTATCTCTCTGTGTTGTTACATAAGCTGTCGGATAAAACCCTTATCCATTCACTACATTCGTTTAAGGAAAGAGACAGGTTTCTCTCCTCTTTATTGATCGGCAACATCGCAGGGACGTTAATCCTCGTTGCAATATCTGATTATTGACGCGTTTACGCATATTTCTCTTCGATTTAAAGACCCTCACTTTTTTTATACGATAAAACCGCCTTTCTCCTTTCACTCGAGAAACGTTCGGACAAATAACTCGGAAGAGTCTTTTTCTCTTTCTTCTCATGACGTAAATTCTTGCGCGATGAGGCCGGTTAGGATTCGAAAGTGGATGAATTCTCGAACGAACATCCTGTGGCTAATGCAGAATTATAGAGGAGAATCAAGGGGAGAAGAAGGAGAAGAAGAAGACATATTGGGAAGAAGGACGTCCGCGTTACCCGCTTTCTTCCTTATTTGTAACGTCCCACTTCACCGACAACTTTTGCTACGAGCAAAAGGCTCCTCGAAGAGGTATCCTCGATGAGGTAGTCTAGTTAGAACCACCTCGGTGCTAGTGTAATGACTATAGTTTCATCATTCCTTAGATCAAATTACGTCATCGGTTTTTACGCTCTCCAAGCACAGAGTACAGTACATCCATTAAAACGACGTGTCGTTAACGTAAGACACTTTAATTGGAAGTTTATTATAGGTCAATTAAATACTCGCCGAAAGGACATCGAAAAGGAGAAAACGATCTCTTCCGAATTTCCCTTACTTCTAGCGCGCATCTCTCTATTTTTAACCTTCTTACTAAAGAGTGAAAGCTCTTCCTGTCTTTTCACGAGCGAACCAGCTAACCAAGTGATCTTTTTTAAATTTCAGATCTAACAAAGAGAGACGTATGTATGTAATAGAAATCAATCTTGTAGTTCCACAAGTTTAACTTTCACAATCAAACTTTGTTTATTCTAATTACAATATTCATATAAGTCATCGATATTTTGTTTATTTTATATTTTGGAACACGTAATACATCTCGAAAAGATTATATTTCTTGTTTAAAAACAAAGAAAAATGTATTAATGTTCATTTTTCAGGGAAAGTAGTGAATCTTTTTGCTCGAAGAAACGAAGCGAGTCGAAGAATAATTGTGAGAGTCTGCCAGAATTTTGCAAGACTTTTAGATAATCTCTAAACTCGTGTATTACGCATCATACTTTTCATCGTAATTACTAATCGACTATTTAACGATTTACCGATTTAGACCACGTCATTTGATACTTATTATTTTATTAATCTATTATATTAAGTTAATTATCAAACATTATTTCTTCTTTATAATGATTTATATTTAATAAGAATCGAATATCATTTTCTTTGGTACGTTATATATTTATATATTTATCTTGTATTCTCCAGGTTTGCAAGAAATGTATGAACAATAACAGGGCTTATAGAAAAAGTCACATGTGAGACACGCAAAGGAAAAATGCTATAAGAGAACCAGATTAGTTCATAGTTAAAAAAACATTGGTTTATGAAACGAATGCATTCACAACAGCTTTGTTTATACATTTCCGTTAGATTCATTAGTAGCAAATTATTTTTTAGACTGATCAAGAAAGAATGTTCTATTGCATTAATTAACAAAGTATAAAATTTTGTATATTCATTTATTCGATGATAACATTTATATTTCGTATAATTTAAAAAAAAATTTATGTTAAAAAATTTCATCTTCATAAATTACAAAAAAATTATATGCTAAAAATTTCAAATTTATAAGATAGATGATTCTACATCTTATACATTAAAATTTAATACATTATTTTAATTTAATTTTATAAAAAAACTAAGATATTTAAAGACGACGATTTCTTAACCATATTTTTAATAGCAATGTATAAGACGGTAAAAAGTAATATGTTCGTTTTATCTAAAGGAACATAATGTAAATGTAACGACCATTTCGATGTATCTAACATAAAGAATTTATATAAAGTCTACAAAAATAACAACATTTAAGCCAAAAATACAACGCGAACAATTTACGAAATATTGACATGATTTGCTTAACATATAAACAATAATTGGCATACTTAAAAAAGTGAAAGGAGATCTTACGAATTCGGCTATCATTCAGCTTCAAAAATTTTCCCACGGTACACCGAGATATTTCACTGATCTAATTTATCATAGGTTACAATATATCTTTTAACGAAGACACAGAAGTATCTAATTATATGGAGTATAAATAGACATTTGTTCATTCGAAAGTAAAATATATCGTAAAATTTCGCTATATATTTAGCTTGAATTAATATAACATATGGATGAAATCTTGAAAATTCAAATCATAGCTTATTTTGTTTCTGTTTGTATCTTTCATCACGGTGATCATTTATTTTTTTCTTTCCTGTGCATTAATTTATTTTGGTAATTTTATAAATATGTTTACACCTATTCTTACGTTTACAATAAAATGTATTTCTGTCTATTATGATGATTTAATTTTTAATGTAAAAAATAATATAGAAAGTAAACATATATATATATATATATATATATATATATATATACATATATATATATATATGATTTGATTACATAAACAGCTGTGATGGCTAATTTTTAATTCAGCAATAACATTGAAGTAGCTGTATACATGATTTCTTTTTTCAACCGAGAACCATCTTCACAATTATTGTTAAAATATTAAGAGCTATTAATGGAACTGAAAATAAAATAAATAAATAAATATAAATATATATATATATATTATCAATATGTATATAAATATATATATATTAGTAATTATTAAAATAACTATCAATTATTCTATATAAAGTAATAAAGCACACCTTTCGCAACTGTTCTTACAGATCTAATAAGGTTTAACATCTGTGATTTAACTGTAGGTGGTTCACCAAATCCTTGTACGTTTTGCCATGAGGCCCATCCAACTATAAAAAAGATAAAGATATAACAAGTACTCCAAAATTAATTATAATAATAAAAAAAGTTAGAATACATATAATCTATTAATATATTTACATATACATGATTAATAATAATTATTTTATTACATTTACTACATTAGATTATAATGCCACTAAATTATCATAACTAAAATAATCTAACCTATAAAATAAAATATGACAAAGTTTACCTACTTTTAACAAGAAATCTTTCTTCGTTTAGCACACAAATAGCATTTAAACATAACAGAGTAGCTTCGTAAAGTGACCATAAAGTAAATGCCATTTTTATTGATCTATAAAAATACGAGTTTCAGAAATTTTTGGTCTCTATACTTACAGACATGAAACGTGTAATATATATATATACATATATGTACCTTGATCATTTCAATAGTTCGTCATCTTCGTCACTTACTTCATAATCTTTAATAATCAATAAACAATCTAGTTGGATATTGTTTATTATTGATTATTTAAATTATTAATTACAACGTAAAAATTAATCAATTAAATCAATAATTTGTTTCCATCATATAATTAATTTTTAAAACGACTAAAAATATAACTATTAAATAATCAAAAAAACTATTATAAATTGAAATTGTAATAATTGACAGATTTATAGTACTGACACTAATTATAGACGAAATATAATAGAACTTGTAATAAATAGAAATAACAAAAATATTTTTTGTTCTAAGCCAATATGTAAAGTGAATCTTTTTAGTCGAATAAAATACATAGTTTATATTTAATAATGTTGAATAAATATATATCTGTACAACACTTACAGATATATAAACGTATATACATTTATAAGCTTATAATACTATAAATTTATATTTATATATACACTATACTACATTAATCACATAAGATGTTATTTAAAAAATATTTAATAATAAGAAATACATAAAATGCATTTATTTCTTTTTTTTAAATTTAACTTCTCCTGTTAATATATATATAATGTATAAATGATTTTAAAGATCTGCACATTCATGCGTAATCTAAAAAATTTACTTATAAGGAACATTTCTATTATTGCAATATATCTATATAAATATTTCTACAAAATTCTTATCAAAGCATATCATATTTATGCTGTTGAACTCTGTAATATACACTATAAAATAAAATGAAAAAGATTGAAATGAATAGCACACAGATGCATACTCAAAAATATAGCAAACTATTATACATTTAATAGCACAGAACCTTATTATAGAAATCTAAGTACATGCAAATACACTACTATTTTTCAAAATGTATTACATTGTCAAGTTTTCAGAATTATTTCTTATAATAAATTATTTCTTATAATAAATGATTAATGATTAATTAATGGAATTTGTTTTAAATATGTATTTTATAGATCTCTTTTATATATGAGTTTATATATGATTACAAAGTAATATTTTGAAAATACCTTTGCATGTATTAAAATTGTTTACAAATAAGATTTGTATTACTTTAACTGACTACAATTAGAGCGTCAAAAGATATTCAAATTACTAAAATGCTGTTATAGATAATGTTTAGTCTTTATATATAGCATTTAAAGATTACAGTCATTGTTTGATAATTTATTCAAATAAAAGCATATATTCACTGTACACTTGACACGTCTCTCTCATTGATATGTTCAATTATATTCCTTGATGAGGCTTGTCTGTAATTAATAACATTCAATACTACTAACAAAGCATATTTAATTACTTATTTAAGAATGATTTCTTTTGCAAATGTATTTTGCAAATATGCATACTTTTTATGTATTATTATTACAAAGTGCATTAATATTAAAAATATTGATACTTGTTGAATAGGTTGTTAAATAATATAATTACAGATATTATTACAAATAAGTAAATGTGATTACAATATATAAAATTATTGCTAAATTATAATTACGATTAATTCTGTTAACGAAATCAGAAATATAAATCATTAGAATTTTATATTTCTATTATATATAATAAGTATATTGCGATTTTATAAAATTAATAATAAATCTGCCATTATAATGCAATGCGCATATTTTTTACAAGACCTTTTAAATTGTCTTAAGAAGTACATAATAAATGAATCTTCATAATCACTTTAAATAATTTAAAAATGATAATTCTATTTTTCAATTATTCTGTCATAATAAAAAAATACCTTTTGATATAATTTCAGTATTAAATAACAATCATTTCACAAAAAAAATTATTTACATAATTTCTCAATTAAAAATGAAATATTGTCATTAATATCTTTGTTGTTAATTTTGTTACTAATTTATATCATTCTTCTGTTTTATTCGGTATAAATTAAAAATTACTTCTAATGTAAAAAAAAGTGATTTATATAATTTTAATAATACCCTCGTATCTATAGCAAAATCAAACACACATATAGAAATACATTTTATGATAATTGTAATTTATATAATTTTTTTCATTGCATAACATATGTGTACTTATTAAAATTAATTTTATATCATATTGGCAGAGATCATAACTTTTTATATTTATTATGTTAATCTGAAGTATAATTCATTTTATGGTAATCTATACCAATAAAAACTTTTACAGATTGAAAAAATGAATTCATTCATTTATGAAATGTTTACGAATTAATAAAGTTTGCAAAGTCATAACATTTAAAATACCTTTGATTTAGTAACTGACCTGCAAATATATTTTTAATATTTGCATGTGTACAAATGTGCATATGTATATTCTTTTATATATGCACCTATAATTATTAACAAAAAGTACATGTAAAATCAAAAAATTAATCCAAACAAGTATCTTTTCTATGTATTAACGTCGACTTTCAGAAATTCTGAAATTAGCTTTGTCACATTTGGTATTTAGTAGAATCATTCGTTATTTTGCAGTTTGTCCTAAACCGCTTGATGTTTTCGCTTTTTGTGATGACTCTGCCACTTCATTTGGTTGGTCGACATCCATCTGTAACAAATATAAAGTTTTAACCACGTATATAAATCAACCAATAACTATATATAACCAATAACAATAATATAAGAAAAATATATTACCTTTTCTTCTTTATCATCATCAATTAGTATCGGACCATTCTCAGCTTCATATTCTTTTAGAACGGCATCTAAATTGTACCTTCGTCGATAATTTACAAAAAATGACCGTAAATGTGCTTCTGTTTTAGTACCAATTACATCAGCAATTGCTGAGAAATCTTTGCCGTATTTTCTAACTCCTTGAACAGCTAACAGTAGTTCATCATTCGTCCATCGTGCATTTATACGACTGGATACTTCTGGTGGTCGTAAATCATCTATTCCATCAGTTGTTTTACGTTTTAAAGCACTTACTTGTTGCTTGTTTGACTGTATCTGTTATTAAAAAAAATAGAAAAACAAATTTCAAGGCATTAGTTTGATAAGACCAATTTTAAATATCGATTTTTCAACAACAAAAATACATATAGAAAAAATGTATCCACACGATGTATTGCAATTATATTATTTTTATAAGGGGACATACTTGACGTTTTAAGCTAACAATCTCTGTGTCGATAGCTTGTAAGCTGTTGTTAGCTTGATTTGGTTGACCAGCCAATGCTGCCAAGTCATCATGATTTACAACCAATCCGCGAGGTGGTTTTCTTTTGTTTGTACGACCTGGCATAGAACTTAGAGGTCTTGCTACACCAGTACGCCTACATCATGAAGATAATAATATTGAAGGGAATATATTTTAACAGTGTATGTGTAAAACGTAATAAGTATATTAATGACAAATTTATTCTAATCTGCACACAATATAAATAAATATAATATATATATAATCACGATAATCTATTTCGTATATATTCCTTTATAAGATTTTTCTATATAAAAGTTATATATCGTAAAGTGCCATATGACTGCATCAATTATTGCTTGCTATTATGCAGTGATATATTTATTTTTACTTGCATTCACTGACCTCCAGTGCAGATAGCAGCTATGACACGCGTGTCCCTTCGGAGTCGCACGTACACTATTGCAAGCGACGCCACAGTTGCTACACGAGCCCTACAACATATAATGCCCTTTTAAAAAACAAATTTTTATCATCTCCTATCACCCTTCCCTTTATCTATTCTTGAGTACATACATTAGCTTGTGACTGAGAGTTAAATAAGAATAAATGTATATAAATGAAGCTATTATAGTTTTGGCACAATTTCTAGTATTTAAAAAAGATATTCTTCTAAACTCTAAATCAAATTTTGTTGTTGTTAACAGTCACAAATCATTGTGTGTAATTGTACACTTATAATTCATAATGTATATTTTTTGTGTCCATGGAATGGAGACACAAAACATAAATACTATGACAAATATATCTTCTGATAATTTTGATTAAATGATTTTGATTATAAATTATGCTCAAAATACATATTCATAGATATTGTTGAACTTTTGAAATTTTTGTATTTACATCCTCAGTAAGGTTTCAGCCTATCAATTCTAAAGGGATAGATGCAATACAACATTTTGATATTTAATTTTGATCATGTCTCGTTAAATTCTTTATGTGCAATACGATATAATATGTACTACAATATGAGACATAACATAGCAAAGATAATAAGCTGCTTATGCTATGAAAGCAGGGTAAGGTTTAGGCTGAGTACCTGAACCTGAGGGGCGTTTTCCGAGTCGGATGGGGCCTTAGCGTCAGTGCTTTGGCTTCCTGGCACAGCTTGGTTCTTTCCACGACGTATTCCGCGGTGGATCGTCCATTTCTGGAACGTTCCACATTTACGTTCATAAACGACTGAACGTTATTTTAAATCATAACTTAACGTTTATACGTCAAATAATGGATAAGCTTTTTGTAATGCATATAAGTATAGTTATATTATCGTACAGTGACACTTGATCGAAACAAGTACAGTTAAACTTTTTAAATATTTATATTTTCTTTAATTGTAAATATCCTATATGATCACATCTAATTCACTTCAATATAGAATTAAAATATTTATTTTTATGATCCTTCCAGGACACAAATTAGTTCTTTTTTTTTTTGTTTTGTCCACGTAGAACAAGTAACGTGTGGATACATTTTTAGAGTATCTATTTTTAGCATTGCACATTTCAGCTAACAGCAAACAATATTCATAATACAGAAAATGTGCTACTTCAATTGCCTGCATTACGTAATATATCAAAAACAAAAACTAAAAATTCTTTAAATTGCATGTTTGTAGCAGTGTGTTGCATGCATAATGGTGCAAATATATTACTTATATATACTAATCATTAAGCTGATATTTTTGAATGTGTAAATTTACTTGCAACAATCGCTTACGTTTTACAAAATATAATACAGACTTTTGACTAAGTATAATCAGCAATTAATTTTAT